TTAATACTTATGAAGTCAAACGGAACGGGGTGAAGCCCGTGGATAACAGCTAGCTGTCTAGTTGATATAAAACACGTTTTTGAAAATAATTCGATTGATGCTTTAAATTCAAATGTTAGGCATTTATTTTATCAGTTATTTAACTTTTCATACAACAGATCTATGGAACATAACAATAAATTATTCTCTTTAGCGCTCCTTTAGCGAAGCACGGGTATGGCGGCCAGCTATAGTACGCTCTATTTCGCAACGGGTACACAAGTTCAGAATACATTTAATTGTTTGATAAGTCAATAGCCCAAAAGTAAACACATCCGATTTATTGTGCATCCTATGTTCAATTGTGTTTTGGATTTCGTCACATAACCTGAAAACTAGTCAAACGGTTACATGGAAATTGTGGGAAATTTAGCTCTACAAGTGCCTGCTGCATCCCTGCATTTATCCCACTGAGCTAGATTTATCCAACAGTGTTGTCATATTGAGTAACACTAAATTCAGGGGCGTAATCTCGCTGAATAAAATTAAAAGTCTGCAGCAGCACCTATTTCAAATTTTAAATACAGCTTTGTCTGGAGCTCCGTTTTTATATATTCTACTACTGTTTTTAACTTATGGATTTTATTTTGTACCTTTCATATGTGTTATATTTAGCTAATAATCTTAACATATAAAAGTAAAAGCCCTCACTCAATGATTCATTACTAATCCAACTTCCAGACTAGCTAGAACGTTGAAATTTGGTGTACTGATTCTTCAGGCATTAAATAGGAAAACTAAGTAGTTTTTATCCTGATCTGACTTGTGGTTCTGGAGTTTCCTTAACCTTATAAGTATCTATATTATTAAAAGACTTTGTTGGATTTTGTGTGCAGCAAATTGACCTATAAGTTTGAATGTTTATAGGCATATTGGGTATCTATATATTAAATATAGATACCCAATATATTTAATAGGCAAACACGAATTTTGTGACGTATCCGTTTTGAAGCTGCTATGCATCCGATCACCACGTAGATAAATGCTTTCCATTGACCTACCTTTATATTGATTGGCATATCACTGACAAATTATCACTATAATGTATCTCAAAACATATATAAGACCTAGAATAATAAAATTTTGCATTGGGACGACAATCCATGTATATGGTGTAGATGTACAAAGTTGGGGGTTTTGCAAAGTTCTAAATTCAAGGGTGGTTTAGGGGATTAAATCTATTTCAGAAGAAATTCGAGTATGCAAGATATTATTTTTATTTTGGTCTGTAACTTATAAGCTACAATGCTTGGATCTTAAATCTTATGGAAGATCGGTAGTGTAGAATTAAATTATCCACAACTTTTGTATTTCAAGAGTGTTTTTCTATCTCAAACATATTTCGAGTAAAATGGGTTTACATTCAAAACTGTGAAAATTTGCTTGTTCCGCCCCGCCACCTAAAAACTAGTCAGTGTCCGTACGTTTAACCATATGATTACCAATCTTTTATTTTATTAAATAGCACTATTTATTATATAATAATAATGCATAAATCAATAAAAGCTGTTAAAAACCTATCAAGTGTACTATCGCAAGTATAGCTACCGACATTATTACATTTTAGGAGCTTGCTCCCGTAAACATTTGAAATCTTCTATTCTAAAGCTTCAATTCAGTGTAGGTTGTTATCATTAACCGGAACTGCTACACAATTTGTTGTAAAACGGTGATAGTTTTCGTTAAACGTTAATAGAGTCAATCTTCTTATATTTAAAAATAAATTTAACCAATTTTCATGATTGAGGTCTCAAATTGAAGGTGTGCACAGATTTCACTCTAAGCATCGGCATATATATTGATCTACTGTATTACTCGTCCAAAAAACATATATTTGACTTTTTCGAATTCTTACTTCAATTTAAGATGCATTTCACCAGTTATAATTATATAATCCTACATATTTTGGTCTAAGAACCTTCAGTGAAATGCCGGCTTTCATTTAAGCTATTAATTAGTTATCCAAATCGGACGGACTACAAGCAATTGCAATGTGCGAACAACCAACATATAAATTATTTTTTTATAAGGGTTTTCTATGATTAAAAATCAATAGGTCCACTATTGTTTATGTTTTTTCATGTTTTTGACGCAAAATAGTAAGTTAATTAAAGGTTTTAATTTGAGCTATTTATCGTTTGAATCAGTTAAGATCTAGATACTCAATAAAAATGTATAAATTTGATTATTGCTCGAATATGATTTTCATTTCAACGTTGTAGAGTAGCATGGGCCCTCTAGTAAGTATTAAATGTACAGAAGGGACAACAAAATTCAAGAATAATATCAAATCAAGAGCATGCCGAGACAGTAACGGGGAACATCATATATACAGTATATCACTAAATAAAATAATGTTTTTGTGTTACTTTTAATCATACTTTAGACTATCTGAAATACTTTTCAATGAAGTTAGAGAAAACTAACTGTACCATTGGAAAATTTGGCTTGGAGTATGATTATGAATGAAAGGAGATATGAATACTTTAGTATTTTTGGTAAAAACATCATTCAGTTGTTCCAGAGAGGGTAGTTCCGTTCCGTAGCGAAGTCAGTGACAACTTCAGCAGGCTTATAGTAAAGAATAAAAGACGAAAAAGTATGTTGGGCGATGCCAACGGCAACAGCTAGTTAATTAATAAAATCTGACCCGCTATACTGTAGATTTTGTTACAAGAGAAAGTAGCTTAGCAGTGACCCAGGGGCATGGAGAGAGTCTTAATATCGTATTTTGTTATTTACAGTATTTCACCTATGAAAAGTTCTAACTAGATGTTTTATACATATAATTTCCTTCGGCATTTATACTGCCTACTTTGTAGCCGTAAATATCGGAATTACCCACATTACCCTTGTATGGGAATGTTTATTGCTCCAGACTTTTGGGTTGGCAGCACTGTTCACCCCATAACAACTACTCCCTCCCCCAGAAACCTTGCAGCCAATGAGAGCAGTCGATGCCCCTACCACAAGAGCAAGAGGGCGTTCATTACCTCACCAAATTGAAAAGTAACCAACTTGACCGATTTCAATATCGGGCAGGTAGGTCCCTTCACCAGTTTGAAAGGTTACCTACTTGAAGGGATCCCGATAAAACCATAGATAAAACATAGTCCCATAGTAGATTTGTCATCCTTATATGGAACAACTTAAGCCAATTTTATTGTTAGTTCTGTACGTCCATAGACAACAAGAATAATTCTGTCTATGGTACTTCCAACTGCAGAGGTTATATTTTGTTTGTTTCTTGTTATTTCAGTCATTTAAAACCTAATTTAACCAAATAAAACCATATAATCACAAATAATAACTCATCCTCTAGCTATATAACCAAATAGTAAAGCACAAATCATGACAATAACCCTAAAATAATATAAACAAAATTTCGTCTTCACCAGCGATTAGTGTGGACGTACATGGACTGAACACGAAAAACAAGCTTCAACATTTACATTGAATGAGGAGTCTACTTGCGTTTATTTATTTATTTCTGGTTACACCATTTAACAAGAAAATCAGTTCTTATAAATCTTATAAAGAGGAAAATTATGTAATAGGTATGTTTTATCTATGGTAATAGCTTTGATAGATTTGCCCGCCAAGCTCGGGGATAGCTTTCTTCAGGGCCTCAACAACATCAATCTCCGTCGACACACAATCAATGGCTCAAGAGTACGGACGGTGCCCTGGTCTTCAACAGCTGCCTTCAGTTCGGCAGTAAAAGCAGCCTTGTCTTTCGACCTACCCAGTTCAAGGAGAACGTTCCCGTCCCGAGTTTGTCTAATCGAACTTACAACCGTAACGGTCTGCTCCGGCTTAGCTTTGGCCTTAATAGCCCCCAAAGACCTCGGCGAAAGATCTACCCCCTGAGGGTTTGACCACGATTGCCTCCGTCCTGAGCTATTTTGGCAGCGACTTTTTCTGAGCAGGGGCTGAGCCGGGCCCAGTCTGGACCACGCTGGTTGGCTGTGCCTTCACTGCCACATTCTTCATGGAGGCGACCTCCACCCGCCTCAATTGCCTCTTCTCCTTTTTGGAAAGGCGTTTTTCCCACTCAGCCCCAGGTGTCTCTACAACTGACCCTTTTTGGGAACTTCCCTGGTTGCTGTGGCTGTCGGCGCTTCGCTGGAGCTGCAGCTACGTCAGAAAAAGGTCTGGGCACAATAGACGAGAGGTCCGTCTGAGTTGCCTTGGCTTTTACTGTAGTCTTTTTGGTCTGGACACCTTCCTCTCTTTTTGGAGGACTCTCAAACCAACGTTTCTCCGGACTTCCTCCGACGATCCAAATGTTGGATAGAATAATGGGAAAAGCCCAAAAAATTAAAGTAAAAGTATAATAAATACCTTTTGCGAGATTAAATTTGCTTACTGAACTGAAGTGTAGTGGGGTACCCCATGTGTCCTCTTCAATGGCTAACACGGAACTCCGACGTGCCTCCGACGTTTCTTTGAAGGCAGTAATCTGTCATCGGGCAGGGATACCGCCTTTTCGGCAATCTTTTCCATGGTATACCAAATACTAAATACTCAAATATTATTAAGCTGCTTCCAAATAAAACAGCTGTTACAACCCTACTTGTGAGTTGCCACTTCGAAGGCCACGGCTTGAAGTTAAAGGCGGCCGTGGATAAAACACAATTTTTTAAAATTATACTACAATTATAAAATACTAAAACTAGTACAGATAAGCATATATTTTGGTTTTGGCAACACACAATCATATATTTTAAGATGTATTAAAACTATATCTTACTGCCTCTGCGTAATTTCTGATGGCCAACACTTTACATATTTACTCCCTTGATTTATAATCGACGCTCAGAAGTGTTATATACCCTCATACATTCCTCTTCCTCTTTCTTTGCTCAAACAGTTTAATCGTCTGCTTGTTATCATCTTGTTTGATGTGTGTGTGAATTCGATCATATGATTTGGTTTGGTGTTTGGATTTTGGAATGGAATGAGTAATGACAGAAGTATAAAAATGCCAATTTGAGTTCGTGGTGTACGTGACATTTAATGTAATTTGATAACTATATATCTAGGAAAATGTAGCGTGGACTAAAAATTCAGACTACTAGCTACAGTTTAAATACTCCATCTCAAAAGTTTTCAATAGCAGCATGTATTAAGGTAGGCCTAGGCCAAGGGTTAGGTTAAGATTCGTAAATAATGCCATTTTACATTTATGCCTCATAACCATTAGCCTAGTGTAGTAAAAGATACTAAATTATATTAATCTAGTTAGTGCTTACTATTTTTAATACGTTATGTAAACTCCCTACACCTCCAATAAATTAAGCGGTATTCATTTACTCTGGGTGCCCCAAATACCCAAATGAATTTTTCAGTTTGATACCTGTATAGTTTTTTACCTCCTGAATCCAAATATACCGTTGAAATAAATAAATGAAATGAAATGAAATACCATTATTTCTGACCGCTGAAGAATATTAGGCCTACTCAAGATATAGCCATACATATATACAACATTAGAATAAACAAGGCTGTATTAAGTGTTTTGAAGTAAGGTTGGATTAGGACGCTGCAAGAACAGTAGGGCGCTCCCGCACTTTTCAGGTGTGGTAAGAGAGCTGGGATAGGGAGAATCCAGGACGTTGGACTGCCAGAATCATAAGATAAGTCCAACCGTGGGTGGAATGGTGGCACGGTGAGGTCGGCCACTATCTCACACAGTTCTTGTCAGATCACGGATATTTTCAGTCGTATCTGCACTTGATAGTCAAAACCAATTCACCTGACTGTATTTAGCCTAAGTTTACTGCCCGAGCATTCCCGAAGATGAGGAAAATACCTTTTCCGCTGTCGACGATGGGTTAAGCTCCGCCGGGAGGCCACTCACCATTTTGGGGCGCTGCCAGTGGAATCAATTTGAAATACCTTACTGGAGGGTGAGGACAACTGGGACTGTTGGTCACATTTTGTCCAGAATATATTTCAACTTAAAAAGAACAATCTATATCGAATCACAGTCTAGATCGTGTAAGAAACGAACGGCTGGACACGGAGTAAGTCCTTCGGGCAAAAGCGAACTCGGTCTATTTCTGATGAAGTGTGACAAGTGTTCTCAGGCTAGTGTCCGAAGAGTGGAGGAGATTTTAGTGGGTAGTATTTACTAAACTGAATTAGCCTATATAGAAATATTCCGTTTACGGCATTGATTTTAACAAAGGTTCCGCAATTGTATTCATAAAATAACTGTTTATAACCCCCTCTAACAGGATAGTGGTAGGGGGTGAATTATTTTGTTCAAATAGCAACCCCTATTGAGGGACCCCTCGTTTTGAAAGGTTTGTAAAAAAAAACACAATGACGTAAACCTGAGGTAGTTATCTCACCCCTAGCCAAAATGGCAGGTACCTATTCCAAAATTTGATTTAGGCCAGATGTAAAAAACACCTATTTCTCAAATTTGGAAACAAACTGTATTTTCTAAACTGAAATTGATAAAAACATTCTGTTTGTGGAATTGATTGTTCACAAAGGTTCCGACTTTTTACATAACTCGGCTTATACATAAACCAAATTTCTCCATGTATTTGTTATTTGAGTTAAATTTGGTTTTTGTTTTTCGAGTTCGTTTGGCTTGGCATGCATCGGCATATATTTATCTACTGTTATTACTCAAAAAAAAAAATGTCAATTTGATTTATTTTAGAATTCTTACTTTAATTTTAGATGTTTTTCACCAGGGTTATAATTATATAATCCTACACAACTTATTTTGGTCTAAGAACCTTCAGTGAAATACCGGCTTTCATTCAAATCGGAAGAGTTTTAAGCTAAAGGTGAACAACCAACATAAAAATTATTTTTTTAAGGGTTTTCCATGAGAAAAAATCAATAGCTGTAGTATTATTTATGTTTTTTTTTATGTGTTAGACTCAAAATAATTATTAAATTATAGGCTTTAATTTGAGCTATTGATAATTTGAACCAGTTCAAGATACTGTTATAACTCAATCATAATTCATAAATTTGATTATTTCTCGGATATGAAAGGCTTATTTATTTCAACATTGCAGAACATGGGTCCTCTAGTTTTATTTATTTTCTTATTGTGTTCTTACACTGTGTTTGTAAATCCATTGCACTTTGTTTACTCTATGAAACATGTTTATGTAGTAGTATGTAGTATCTTTAATATATGTGAAATAAATTAAACAAATCATACTATTTCATTCAGCCGTAAAGATAAAAATGTATTGCATTAGTTAACAATAAACTGAATTAGCTATGTTATACAGTAAAATACACTGTTTTCAGTTTTCAGGTTTGGTATAAATCAAAGGATCAAAGGTATTTATCTTACTTCTAGTATTTAAATGCCAGGTTTTACAATATTCCAATACGTGTGATCTTTAACTATTGGATTCTGTAATGAGAGATATTAACTTAATTAATTAAGCGGCTTTTTCCATACTTTTTAAATTTGAGTTGTTGATTCCAATTTTAAAGCAAAGGTGAGGCTGTTTTACAATTGGATGACATTGGCAAAGTCTTTTGAAAAAAGATATATTTACTATTTTGTTATTGGAAATTATGCAAATTACAATGAGAATATTCGATAATGCCAGATTTTTCTGAATCATTGAAAGTTGGAAGATTTTTATTTGACAAAGGGATGGGGGAAGAGTAATAATTTTGAATCCACTGTGTTAAACCAAAGATAAAGTATTCTTACCATCAAATTTTGGAATTGAAATTGATTTTTTTTTAATATTAGGTACTCATTGTTAATGCTACAGTGGGTTAGAAAATACTTTAAACTAAAGAACTTAAGTAACTAAAGTTTTTTACATTACGTATTAAATATATTTTAGCCTTGTATTATTTTATCAAACCGTTTCAGTTAACCCGAGTTCAGTTAACCGGGGTTATACTGTATTAAAATAGAACTATATATTGGTTAATTTTAGCTGGATTGTATTAATAGTCAAAGGAAATACAGGCAATTAATCACAACTGATATAAGGTAACTTAATAAATTAAAAGAATAACATACCAATAAGTACAGCTGAGATACTATTAACATTATGGAAAGTTCCCTTTAGAAAGGAATTAACCCAGTCACCTTGTTATAAAAATCAGAGTCTACCTTGCATGAAATGGGGTAGTAGGTTTCTTTTTTTTATGTTGTTTGTGATAGTACCGAGATGCTAAATCCAAATTTTCGACCTCGGCGACCTTCCGGATCACCTCCAAAACGCTTAAAAATCGGCAGAATTACGCACTATTTTTACGTTTGTCCGATTTTGACCCTGAAGCATCACTTTTTCATAAAGAATAACCATAACCATTTTTAAAGTATATAAAATTACCTATCACATAAGACCAAAATGGTTTTTACAGGCCTAATAGTTTTCAAGGTATGACTCCGCAAACAACGGCTAAAATTACCAAATTTTGAATTTTTTTAAAGTTTGGCTAACGTTAACCCTTAAGCATAACTTTATCGTTATTTTTCATTAAAACAACCATAATTACTTTGAAACTGCATTAACTTACTCACAATTTAAGACCAAAATGGTGATTATAGGCCTAACACATTGAGAGATATGCCCCGTCAAGGTTTATAAAATCTTCCATAAATGTTTGTATTTTAAGATTCAACTTTCAAGCTATTCAATTTTGTCAAGTTTTATAAAAGAACCTTAATAAGAAATAGACAAATTTATTTCATTTCGAGTAGCCTACAGATTGTGTTATAAAAATTTATTTTTAAATGGAAATAAATCTATTGTATCTATCTACATAAACACACACGTACATTGTTACAATAAATGGTTCTCGGGGATAGAACACAGGCCTGTGACGAACGGTATTCATTTTTACGTAATTTTGATTTTGAATTAAACTGTTTACAACATAGAAATACCAAATAATGGCTTAAATACTATGATTTTGAATACCGATATGGCTTTTGTAATAGCATAAAGAGTGTATAAAAGGATTACAATCGTATTTTTTCCAAATAAACCCCATTTAAGGGGTCAAAAACATTACGTAAATTAATTAATTTGACCTAACACATTTTGTGTCTTAAACTTTGAAATGCTTAAAATTGGCTTAAATATTATAATTTAGAATACAATTATGGCTTTTTTTAATTGCATAAAAAGTGTATGAAATGAATACAACTATAAGATATACAAATAAAGCTCATTTAATAGGTGAAAAACATTACGTAAACATTGATTTTGCGTAACAGATTTTCTGATTTCAACTTTAAAATGGCAAAAAAGCTTAAATTGAATAATTTTGAATAGGATTATGGTATTATAAATTACACAAAGAGTATATAAATGGAATACAATTCTTACTTAGACAAAAAAATCATATTTAATGAGTGAAAACATTACGTAAAATACTCAAATTGTTTTTGCTAACATTTTACTTAATTTGTTTATTTCCTTGCAGTTTATATATATTTAACGCTTGAAAATGCTTTATTACACTGAAGGACTATATACTCAATGGTATAGAACCAATTTAGACTATAAAAAGTCAATAGTTTGCTTCATAATTCAAAAACAAAGTCAGATTTACAAGAATTTAAGCGAGTTTTGTTGTGCAAACCAAACATCATTTGTTAATATTTTTCAAATTAATCACTATTGACTTTTTAAAACCTCATATATAAAAAAGATACTAGTTAGAGCAAGGTAAGAAACCAAAAAATACCAATAAAAACCTACAATTTACGCAAGAATTAAGTTTTAACACAGGAAAGAGCTAAAGACCACCCACAGTGCCATGGGAACTATGGACACCTGTGGTCACTATTACCTACAAACAACCATGATATGACTCATGATGACATATAGTTTTTTTTGTCAGATATTGTAAATATTTGAATTATATACATCCTGCAGTTAATCCCATACTGATGGGTTGAAGCATTCAAAAGTTATAGGACTTTGAAATTTCAAATTGAGACAACTTTTTTCACCCAAAAAATCATATTATTAGTCTTATTTTCAATTAAGTTCTTGAAATTTGTAAAAATTTGTCCTCTTGATTTAAAGCTTAAAGGTATAGCATACCTACAGGTTGTTTAATCTTATTCCTTATCAAGAAATTGTGAAAATTCATAAGCATGCAGGCAGGCA